TCCCTACCAGATTTTGACATTATGGCAGGGAGGCATCAGAATCGTAGTTTTCCTCTTCCAGGAGGTCATTCAAGTGGTCAAGTACATGCATTTGGAAATTGTACAGACAATGATATGTTGGAGGAGGATGCTGAAGTGTATGAGCTTCGATCCAGAGGAAAAGAAAAAATCCGAAGAAGTACATCAAAAGATAGACTTGATGACATTATAGTATTAACAAAAGATATACAGGAAGGAGACACTTTAAATGCAATAGCCCTTCAGTACTGTTGTACGGTAAGTTTTAATTTGATTTTGCATAATGCAGCCCCAAATAAATTATTTGTTCATAGCACAAAATTGAAATAAATTCTGTGCCCTTTTATCTTGTATTCCCCCCCCACCCACTTTTTTGTCTTTTCACAGAAATCAGTATCATTTTGGTGGATGTTAACTTTTTAAATTTTTAAGTGAATACTTGAATTTCTGTTTATTTCTAAATCATGATTCTATTTTCAGATTGAAAAACACTCAAATGTGTTTATTTTTCTCCTTATTCAAGTTGTAAGGGAATGTAGAAATATATAAGGAAAGGTTTTTTCCTGCCCCAATTTCCTGAGATAACACACGTTGGTGTATTTCTTTCCATACGTTTTTTGGGGGGAGATATATATGTGTATAGTGATTTTTGTGTTTAAAAATTGGTTTATATTATACCTATTACTCTGCAAGTTGCCTTTGACTTTTTCATTTCTTAGTATACCATGGATATCCCTCATAGCCTTAAAGATCTAACTCATTATTTTATGTAGCTATATGATATTGCATAGTATGGATCTACCATAATTATTAAGTTGTTCTCTTACTCATTGATAGGATTTTCGCCATGTTTTGCATTGTGCAGTGAATATCATCACAACTGGTACCTTATTTCTGTGAAATAGATTCTCAAAAGTGGGATTTATAGATGAAAGGTATATTTTTTATTTTACTAGGTATTAAACTCTGTTTAAATCCATTTAATGTCTGTGTCATGTCCATTTTGTATCCATAGCATGGAATCTATTTTCATGTAAACACATTGATATGGAAACTGTTGATATCTTTCATTTTCAAACTTTATTCTCATGCTTCCAAAAGAATTTTGAAATGTATATACTGTGTACATCCTTGTACCTTTTAAAGTGAACATCTTAAATACATCCTGACTTAAAGTAGTTTTAAAGGATTTAATTTCCAGAATGTTGTCAATATTGATATTTAAAAACAAGACTATTAGAATATTCTTTAAATATATGCATGGAATCCTAAATACCACCAGGATTTGCTACCTAAAATTATTCATTTAAAATATATATATGAGCTCTTTTTTTAGTAGTATGAAATTTTATATTTAAAAAATTTTTATATATTTAAAATTTTTTTCTCCTTGATTAATATTTTCATCACCCCCAAAAATCTTTCATAGTATAAAATATTTTTATCTTGAAAACCTTTTATTGATTACCTGTCATAGTTCTCTGCAATAGAAACACACACATATATTGATAAATTTATATATATATATTTAAATTTAATTTTAAAGTCTCTGATGACCATGAGGTTCTATGTATTATTTTTCCTGAATAATTATTGCAATTATTCACAGTTGATCAAAACAAACATTATAAATTTTAATTTAAATGTTTAATAAATATTTTATTGAAATGCATTTCTTGATGAGGTAAGAAAGCTGGGTTTGGGGTTTTTTTTGTGGCTTGTTCATGTATGGCAACATTATTGTTAAATCAGAAAATATCTGATTTCATTCTTTAATGCAAATAAAATTGTTAATATGTGTTCTGTAGAGAAATAAGACCACTGAGAAATAAATTATAGAATGTGCTTTAGAAGGATGATAATGGAAAGTAATCAAGACTTTAAAATTAGGGGCAAGACTGAAAATATCAAGGTGAAGATCCAAGAGAAGAGTGTGGTCCAGCAGCTTTATTAGAGAAGGACATTAGTTTTCTTTTAATGAGCCTAGAAAATTTTCTTAGAAAAAGAGAAATTTGAAGTGCCATCTGAATGATTAAAAATAGGTCATATTTCCAATGAAGTGAGAAGGAGAAAGTATTTCAGGCATGACAGTGATGTGGAGATTTCAAGGAGGAAATAAGGCGGACAACGGAGGAAGTTTAATAGCTGTTTCAGAAATGAGTGACACAGACTAGGATGAAGTGATTTAATATAACTGAGGGAAAGTTTGATATATAGTAAGAGAACATCATTGTAAGATTTTAACAAGAGTGCTGCAGAATGGGGTGGGGGGGGCGGGAACCTGCTGGTGAATTAGAGGGAATCCAAGAAAGAAGTTACTGGAAGATGATCCAATGAATATGATTAGGGCTTAGGCTAAAATATTTATAGTAAAGAAGAGAAGAAGCCAATAGAAAATGTATTGGGGGGAAATCACAGGGTGTATCCGCTGTTTCCTTAATTAAAATGAAGAGTGATGAAAGGCAGCTGAATGTTAGGGAAAAGATGGCATTGGCCACAATAATTGGAAAATTGATATAGCAGAGATAGGGAGTTAAGCAGTGCTCCCTTTTGACAGAGCTCAACTAGCAAAAAAAAGATTAACCTTACAAAAGGATTTATCATTTAAAAATATGGTAACTAGTGCTATATTCCACTTATAAATATTCAGCCTTAGGAATTATTAAAAATATGCCTGTTATAAAACAGTGATAAGAAGAACAAAAAGCTCAAGGTTACATTTGGAATCCTAAATGTAACCAAGGAAGTTAGCATAACAGAGAAAATATTATAGGGATATTTAGAGAGATAACCTAGGTAGATGCTAAACCTTGGAAACCTGGTTCAGAAAGATTATTGAGTAGTTATTAGAATACACAATACCAGGCAAAAGAGCATTTAAAGAGAATAGGATCAGGCTTTGGGGTTTGTCAGTGAATCTTCATTTGCCTTAAAAGAGTCTCAAGGTAGTAAAATGACAAAGCACCCTTTAACATTACACTCTCATCTCCAAGTTATTGTTCAGTCCTCTCTTCCTTTTCCTCCCACACATACACTTCAAAGGAATTGATTTTTCCAATAAGAACTCTCATTCTTCATCAGTAATATGCAGTTAATCCAGGTCACTACTACCTCTTAAAAACCCTGTTTGACAACCTGGATTCTGCAGGTTTCTGACTTTCCTACTACTAAAATTTAATAACAGCTAACATTTACATAACATACTGTGTGTCACTACTGTAGATGTTCTTTGGACATTTTAATACATTAATCTTCACAGTAATCCTATGTGGTAGGTAGTATTATTACTGTCATTTTACATATGTGAAACTGATTTGCAGACAGGTTAAATAACTTGCCCCAAATCATACAGCTAGAAAGTGTCAGGACCATGCTTCAAACCCAGATAGTCTGTGCTTTTAACCACCATCATATAGTGCTTTCCTGGGCACTGTTTCTTAATCTCCTTTGTGGATTTCTCTTAACTCAGCATACCCCTCAAATGTTGGCATTCCTCAGGGATCTTTCCTATGTTACCTTTTTCTCCTAGACTTTTTCTAGTGAATCTACTCTTGTGACTTCAATTACCATTTTTGCTGGTAATCCACAAATCTATATCTCTAGCTGAGATCATTCTTCTGAATTTCAGGCATACATTTATAACTGCCTTTGGACATCTTCCACTTGGCGCATTTCAAGCACCTCAAAGTCAACATGTGTGAAATCTGCGTTCATTCTCTTTTATCCCCCTAGTGTTCCATAATCTCAGTGAGTGACATCATTATCCATCGAGTTGGCCAAGCCAGAAATCTAAGTTTTATCCTAGACTCACTTTACCTCTCTGATATCAATCAGATGATAAATGATCAGTGCTTGGTTTACAGCATTGATGGAAATGATGGATTGATAACTTAAAGGCAGTTGGAGAGCCTGGCATAGTAATTGGTAACCTGAGAAACACTCTCCTGCTCTCCTTACAATGGCAGGTGGAGAGAACATGTAGACAGGTTGAGGACTATATAAAATATATAAGGAAAGCTTATAAAAATGGCTGATCTGGGGGATAGTTGAATAATGCATTTACACCAAGAGGTTTGGGGAAAAATGGCTTCAGGGGACAAATGAAGGAGACAAATGATCATATTTTATCAATTCTAAGGTGTATTTTTTTACACATTTTAACATCTTTGAAGTTAGAATGGTGGTGTCTTCAATATTTGGTGGGTTTTTTTTTTACCTTAATGATACATAAAATAATGGCACATCTTAGAGTGGATTGCATCTTGGTTTTGATAAAATATGGTACTTTTAGTTGGGTAAGTTGACATTTGCCTATACTCTAATCGCCACATTAGAAGAAAGAACATAAGTATCTGTAATCCTTCCTTCACAAATTGTTTACAAGCGGCAGAAGTATGATATTTGCGTATGATATAGAAAGAGAAATACCAAAAGATCCTAGAATCTACTTAAATAGCTAGGATTAGTGTTAATATTGATAATATGTGGGTGATTATAGAATGTAATTGGTGATTTCTTAAGACTGGTAGATCAAGAATGGTATAGAACTGTTATCCACAAATAATATAAAATCCTCCCTGGATGTGATAACTTACTACTTCTAATAATTAAGCTCAATTTTTTTCCCTCCAAAAGTAACTGGGATGAATGACTATTACTACTCTATTTTGATTTAGAACTTAGTTGAATTTTGCTTTTTTTTTCTTTACAGGTAGCAGATATCAAGAGGGTTAACAATCTCATCAGTGATCAAGACTTTTTTGCCCTTAGGTCTATCAAAATTCCAGTAAAAAAGTTTAGTTCATTGACTGAAACACTTTATCCTCCAAAAGGAAGACAGACTTCACGTCCTTCATCTGTTCAGTACCTTTCAGAACAACAGGAAGTTTTGTCAGCTAATGATTTCCTTTCTTCCAGTGAGTCAGCTGGTAGCTTTTTAAAAGAAGTAGACCGAGACATAGAACAAATAGTAAAATGTACAGACACCAAAAGAGAGAACCTTAATGAGGTGGTGTCTGCCTTGACAGCACAAGTACGTTTTGAACCTGATAACAAAAACATTCAACGTAAGGATCCTTATTATGGAGCAGACTGGGGAATAGGGTGGTGGACAGCTGTAGTGATAATGTTGATAGTAGGCATAATAACGCCAGTATTTTATTTGCTGTATTATGAAATTTTAGCTAAAGTGGATGTTAGTCACCATTCAACAGTGGATTCTTCACATTTGCATTCAGGAGTCACACCCCCATCACAGCAGAGCGAAATGGAAAATGAAATTGCTCCAACTAAAGGAATACCCTTTGTCCCACAAGATGACCATAAGCTTTATAGTCAATATTCTCAGTTACCTGCTGCTCGACACAAAACATAGCAGTTAGTTCAGTTACAGTGTTAGCGATCACATGTGTATCTGGAATTTGGTGGGTGAATCAGTTATATTAAATAACCACTTCAAAGGCAGAATTTAGGGAGATTGAAGATGCTTTTTCACCTTTTTTTTGTTTGTTTTTTGGAGCCATTTACAAATGGATTGAGTATAAAATCCCTACAGTTGCTAGTTGTTGATACTGAAAGCAGTACATCTGTATATCTGTTTTATCAGTGCTTAAAGCAGAAATGAATTTAAATATGTGTCTCGGAAGTTCCTGGAAAATGCATTTTTTTCTTATTCAAGACTGGTTATGTTCAAATTTTATTTTTTAAGCAATTGTTTCTGGTTTGAGGTTATTAATAGTAAATTCATTAAGCAGAACAATGATAGCATCAGATGTCTGCAACTGAAGAAAATTTATTACTAACCATCAAAATATTTAGTTGCAGAAAAGTTTGATTCTAAAATTATTTGATAGGACTTACTTAAAATTTCATTTCGAAACTTAAAAAAAACCCCACATTTAGTACATACGCTATGAAAACATAAGTAGAACAGAAAGGGGAAAGAAATGTATAATGTCTGTAATAGAAGCTGAGATATATTATTATTTTTAAGCCCCCAAATTAATGTGTTACTGTTGGGAAGTTGCCATTTGGTCACTAGAACACTGGATTATGTCAGGACCTAAAAGTTATCTTTGTCTCTGAAAGAATGCTGCCTCTGCTTCTGTGTTTTAAGTGATTATATTTGCCTCTGATGTTTGAAAGCACTTTTGTTGTTCTTTGATGAGAAGTGTTATACATGTACAGATTAGTATTAATTAAGAAATACTTTCTTACATACTATGATAAGTTGTTGCTGTGTTACATGTAATAACATGCCTTAATTACATTTAATGCCTTATAATACTTTATGTAAACTAGTATAATTTTTAGAAATTAAGCATTATTTCAGATGGTCCGATAGGATTCATAACATAAGCTGTATAAATTTGTCTCCACCTTCACTGTCAGGCACAAGTTAATGGGATCGTAACATTTTCGTTGTCTGTCTCTGAGGTCTGTTGCAGAAAAGCAAGGGTAAAGAGACCTTTTGCATTAGCAAAAACAGACAAATTGCTTTGTATATTGATCCCTTAACCTCTGTTTTTCAAAGAGAAAATGTTCAACTTAGGTCTTTTTTCCCTGAACTAGAGCATCAAATTGGGGAAGAGAGGCCAAAGGTGTATATGGATTGGTCAAAAGAGTGCCACTTTTAAGATCTGTTGTGGATCAGAGTCTGGCTAAATAAGCATTTGCATACTGATTCCATCATTTAGTTTTTAAAAGTATGTGTTTTTAAAATGCTATCAGAATGATTCATTTGGTGGAGTCTGGCTTGCCTGTTTGTGTAAAATAAAGTATGTACCTTAAGATATATTATACCACCTAATTTTCTGGGCATTATTTCCTAACTTTTAATGTTTCAGCTTTTTGACCAGTCATTTTATATTTCAAACTTCAGTCTTGATACAAAGTGGGGTGAATAAATGTATATGCTTAATGAGGTTTAATGTACATTTAGGAGCAGTGTATCATAGAAAGACAGGACAAAGATGTCATACATTAAAGGTAAAGCCCTTGCATATATTAGAGGGCCTTAGACAATTACCAAAAAGTGTCAATATGGAAGTTTGTAGCAAATTGATTTTTTGAGTTAACTCTATTAGTTTAAGATTTAAAAAATTGTTTTAATGTGCTTTGGGCACCTTGAGAAAAGTATGATCTTTCTAATTTATGCTCAGTGTTAACTTGGTCAGTTTACATTGTATTTATTAAGCCTGCTGAAAATCAAGTTTCAAGAAAGAAAATACAGATTATTTTAGGGTAGAATGGGCTAGATGTCCTTTGAAGAACTTTGTTTACATCAAATTGATGAACTTACGGAGTCAGGGATTCCTTTTTGCTAGCGGTACTTTGAAATTGTGATAGAGAAGTCTGATTTATAAAATAAGTAACTTTTTAAAAAGTAATGAGGTATACCATGTACTTGATTAAAAACCTTTTGTCTTGCAGAGAGTGTCCTATTCCTTGAAGGCAGTATAACATATCCTTATGACACAGGCATTTTCCTTTGTCCATATATTTGAATTACATTGGGCTGGCCAAAAAATTTGTTCGGATGTTTCCATAACATTTTACAGAAAAAACAGAGGGAACTTTTTGGCCAACCCAATATATTTTTTTACTTAATTGAATATAATTTGAATTATATATAATTCTATATATATGTATAACATATATAGAATTCTGTGTTATATATATAGAATTCTGGATTCTAATCCTTAAGTGTCATTTGTAAAAGAAAAATTTCCTAAGCATTTAATAGATTTAGAATAATTTTAGCTTTTAAAAAGTACTAATACATCAAAATTTGTAACAAATGCAGATTACTTTGTAAAACTTAATAAAACAAGAAAAGTTATTTGATTTTGTGGCTTTTGTGTTGAAACCCTTATTTGAATTTACTTTGAGGCTTTACATTAGAAGATATATATACACACACACACATACATGCAGATGTAAAAGTCACGGAACTGTGAATCACTGCATTTGGTTCACTTAAAAAGTTGGAGTTGCAAGTGAAGAAAAACCTATTTTTTAAAAGGGCAGATTCTTTCTTAAAGTCTGGGTACAAATGGTTAAGACTTTCAAACTAATGGATGCCATTTAAATTAAATATTTTTTGCCATCGTATTTCTAGAAAATTATAGGATTCATGTCCCCAAAAGATATATTAAGATCAGTTATAGAGTCTGGTGGCCACGTTAAGAATTAGAAGACAGTAATGTTAAATTAATTTCTCCAAAGACTTTTTGTTTTTTAAAGCTTATCTTTTTCTGGACTCTACTTACTTGTTCAGTGGCCTGAAGAGTTCTTTAAATGAACCACTATTTAGTCATTAGTTCTTTTTAAAGTATCTACTACTAAAATTACCTACTTGGGAATATGAAGGATACAGTTAGAGTTTTAGAAATATCGTGAAACAAAGATCCAGTCAAAGTGTTACAGAGTAAAGGTGTAGTTTTTAGGACTCTGTATTTAAATGGTACATTATGATGGGAATCATTCTTATTTTGAATTACAAAGTTGCTCAGGAAATCAGTATTTTTCTTCCAAGTATGTGCATATTGCACTGTTAGATCATAGTAATCTGATGCTTTATTTAATTCTTTTTATGTATGCAAATTATGTCTTTTGTATAATGTATTTTATACAGATGCAGCATGGAATTGTAGAATGTTATGTTAGCATGTACATCTGTAAAACTGGTTTTTAAAACTTCTTGCCCCTCATTTTTCATATTTTAAAAGATCTGCAAAATGTAATAAAGTTTCTATTTTATTATTCAATCGAAAATGGAATCTGGTTAATTTAATTGAATAAAGCAAACCTTTTCTCCTCCTCTAACTATTAGAGATACTATGTAAGATAGACTGAATTGCCAAAGATTTACCAATTCAGATTCCCCCTTGTTATACTGAAACAAAATACACTGGATTATTCATAGTACATAAGTGAAAGGGAATGAAAAAATTTCAGATGAATGTTATTTGTGGGGGTATCTCTGATCTCATGGAAGAAGGCCTCATGAGACCTGGTCACACCTTCTTGGCAAGTTACAGATTGGTCGTGTAACAATATGCTCTATTTATATGTAAATTTTATTATCACAAAACAACCTTTCCATTTCAAAATATTAATTTTTTAAAATACCAGTAGCAAAAAGAATTAAGACAGTTATTTGGAGTTTTTATTTATTTAATGGAGAATTTGTGGTGTAATCCTTGTTTTCTCCATTTTTAAAAGTATCTTGATCTTAAAATTGTATTCACAGTTTTTCTTATAAGAAGTTTTTACTAACTTAAGAGCCTTTAACCAAATTAAGGAAAGCCATTGATACTGTACATCTGAAGGTAGTGGGGAAGGAAAGGTTAACAAGGTCATCTGAGTTTCTTAGCATTCTCTCAATATCCAAATCTCTTAGTTTGTTATCACAACTTTATTCACCTAGAGTTTTGTTGTTGATGGTGGTTTGTTCAAGAACATTTGATACTGGCACCCCTGCTCAATAAATACACAGTTATCTTACTAGGTAAAATAAGTATTAACAAATTAGTTTTCTCTATTAAATATATTTCAGCAGGGTCAAAGAAAACAATATAAAACAAAAGGACACTATTGTAAGAATTTAATGTGTAAACAATACAGAAAAATAACATTAGAGCAACAAAACTTTTGCATCTTATATAGAAATTTTAAAGATACTTCACCAACAAGTAGGAGGTTAATCTCTGTATTAAAGCTTGCCTTCTTATAGAATAATTTAGCATTCTCTGAGATTTTAAGCCAGAAAAACAAGATTCATGCTGGTAAAGCAACCTGCAAATACTTTCTGCCTGTTCTCACAATTAGTCTACTTTACATTAAACATAAGATCTTCCAAAGGAGGAAGTTAAGTGCATTGTCGCACTTAATGGAGATGGCTGGGGCCTTCCTTGCCCATAGGAGATGCTTTACCATCTGCAGGACTAAAATGGTGGCAACAAATTGAAAGCCAGGAAAAGATTCCTGTATCTTTGGTGTATTTGCCCAATTTAAGTGTTATCGTCATATGTATAATAAAGCAAGTAAACAGAACCCTAAAGATAAGCTTTCTATAAATTAAATGGTATTTGGCTATAGTACTAAGGAGGTGAGAGATTAAGAACTTCTGTTAATTATCAATCCTAAATGACTACTTGCCCATTACAACTGAAAACTGAGGATTCTACTCTAAGAAGTACGGTAGATTGCTAATACTTTAGAGTGTTTTATTCATGTTTTCCATTTAGAATCTTAAAAATTATTGATAAGCTCCTTTAAATAAGAAATCACATAGGATCAGCACAATACTGAGCTAATAATGGCCCTCACACACATACTGAATTATCTGAGAAATATTACAATTGAAAGTGGTCTTTTTCCTGAGAAAGCCATGTTACAAAATGGCACAAGACAATACACATTTTCTCCAATTTTTCCCACCAGAAAATAAGATGGGAAAATCAGATTATAATATATTTTATGAGGAAAACATGTTTGTTTCTCAAAACTGTTTTCAATCACTTTACCATCTACAAGTTTTTAAAGGGTGAGAACTAAATTTAAATTAAGAATGATCATTTCTACAAGGTGAGAGAATGAATACATATGGTAAACTTTGGTTAGAGTTTAAACAATTTTTATAGAAAATTGTTCACAAGTGAAGAAACTAAGGCACAGAAAACTTAAGCTCAATTTCAAGGTTGAGTTTAACAGTAAAGGTAGAAATAGAATCCAGGGCTCTTGATTCTCAGGTTAGAGGGTAATGGGTGGTGTCTTCCCAAGAGGGAAAAATTTATTTCTTTTGGTGGGTAATGTTCATAAATCATTTTAAAAATATATAATATGAATTTCCTTGAAAATCTTTGGCATATGTGAGTCATTGGAGGCTGAAGTTTATAGATATCCTCTCCCCGACCCCAATACAAAAAGGCAGAGGAGCTAGTTTTTAAATGAATCAAAAAAGATTAATCAATTTCAAAGTGACCTGAGTTTCATTCTTCATTGTTATGTAAATCAGTTGGAGAGCTCAGTCCTGTGAAACGTAACAGAGGCCACTACACCTCACAGATTACACATACATGCATCCTGCAATGAGATTTATATGACTAGAATTTAGTCTACATTTTTATAAAGTACAAAATTAAATCTCAGTCTAATTTTTCATAAGCCAGTGACTCAGAGATATCAAACTTGTTACAGTGGGATGATTAATTCATATATTGTATGGTATGAAGTTAGCCACCAATTCAGGTATTTTTAATATTCATCCCAGGCCTTTGTATTGGTTGAGATGTAAGCTGTGAAATTTACTTAGCTCAGATTGGCATTTTTCCCTGTGCATGTGTTTCCAATCACGAAATTTTTAATCTCATAAAATATGCACTTGTAAGAGCTCAGGTAGGTTTATGTAGTCATAATATAGTAGCACAGAACATACCATGTAAAAGTAAAAAATAAAATTATTTTCAAGTTTCTTTGTATTTTAAAGTGCTCCATGTGCAGTATTAAACCAACTTTCAGATTACAGAAATCCGTTATGATGACTAGTAGTTTTAAAAAAGATCAGCAGTTAAACAAGAAAAAATTGTTTAAGTATGAATACATAGATTAAAAGATGCAAAAACTCTTTAGGTACATTCTAATCCAAATAATACCAAAAAAAAAAAATCCACTTGAATACATTAGAGAGATGACAGAGGTGTTGAGAAGGAATGTCAGAGACTAACTGGTAAGGTAACTAGTATGGAAACTCAAAGTGGTTCTGAATATTTTGGTAACAAGTATCTTTCCAACAAAACAGGAACAAAAATAAAATACTCATTCCTTATCAGAAATAAAATAGAAAACAAGTCTGTCCAAATGTTCAGAAGCTGTATCATAAAAATATTTTTTGAGAAATTTCATAGCTAATAGGTTGCTTCATCCATGTTGTCATCACTGTCTGCACCAAAATCATCTCCATCTTCAAAGTAGGAATTAATGTAGTCATTTTCCTAAGTGAAATGATATATTCCTCAGTAAACATTAAAAGTATGAGTAGTAACATTAAAGAACATAATGTAGGCTGTCCCTTTAATATAAGTTTATAAATATCAAAGTTAGGTAATTAGAAAATATGCCAGGCTTAAAAGAAGTCTCTGTTATTTCAATGCTTGAAACACACATTAACTTTCACATATCTAACTGTGCTTTCTTCCTCAAGACCACCATCTCCTCCTATTCTCAGGCACCAACTAGCTGAGAGAACATAAACGGATGCCCATTACACCTTAATAGGATTATACATCTCATTCATTATACCTTAGTGGGATGATACATGGTTTAGTTAGTTAAACCACTAAACACTTACTCCAAACAACTGTACAAACACTCAAGAAACTAGGCCAATTTATACTAACATTCATTCGACTACACCAGAACTGAGGTTTCCAGTTACAATGCATAGCTGAGCATAAGCAGAGAGATTTTTGCTTCCTACCAAAAAACAAACAAACGAAAAGACCTCAAGATACTAAATCAAATGCAGAAGATGCCATATTATATTACATCTAGGGCCCCTCAGTTTATTTTTTTAAATTTTTATTTATTTAATTTATTTATTTTTGGTTGTGTTGGATCTTCGTTGCTGCGCACGGGCTTTCTCTAGCTGCGGTGAACAGGGGCTACTCTTCGTTGCGGTATGTGGGCTTCTCATTGCAGTGCCTTCTCTTGTTGAGAAGCATGGGCTCTAGGTGCGTAGGCTTCAGTAGTTGTAGCACGTGGGCTCAGCAGCTGTGGCTCACGGGCTCTAGAGCGCAGGCTCAGTAGTTGTGGCCACACAGGCTTAGTTGCTCCGCAGCATGTGGGATCTTCCCGGACCAGGGCTCGAACCCGTGTCCCCTGCCTTGGCAGGTGGATTCTCAACCACTGTGCCACCAGGGAAGCCCCTCAGTTTCTTTTAAATTAAGAGGGATTAAGCCCCTGGGAACATTCCAATTCTTATGGCTGAGTAAGACTACTATCTGTGTAAATGACTCAAGATATTTCTGCTTTCTATCAAAAATTCAAAAATCTATTTTGGATATAGATTAAAAGAAATTTAAGAGCGTTATTAACCAACTGCAGTGTATGGACTGCAGCTGGATTCCAACTGGAATAAGCAAAAATTTTTTTTCCAATCAAAACTGTTTGAACACTGGTTTAATATTTGATGATATTAAAGAGTTACATATTATTGTGTTAGGTATGATAATGATATTGTGATGTTGTTAAAGAGCCCGTATTTTTTATTTATTTATTTTTGGGTACGCGGGCCTCTCACTGTTGTGGCCTCTCCTGTTGCGGAGCACAGGCTCCGGACGCGCAGGCTCAGCGGCCATGGCTCACGGGCCCAGCCGCTCCGCGGCATGTGGGATCTTCCCGGACCAGGGCATGAACCCATGTCCCCTGCATCGGCTGGCGGACTCTCAACCACTGCGCCACCAGGGAAGCCCAAGCCCTTATTTTTGAGTACATACTGATATATTTATGGATGAAATGATATAATGCCTCGGATTTGCTTTAAAGTAATCCAAGGCAGCTGCAGGCTTGAAGTGGTGGGGGGGGAAGGAGCAGACTGGGTGGATGAAAGAGTGGCTGAAAGGCTGGCTACGAATTGATCATTGTTAAAGCTAGGTGATGAGTCTGTAGGTGTTTATATTACTAGTCACTAGTTTTTGTAAATGACTGAAATTTGCCATAAAAAATTAATTTCCAGGATACACAGTTTTGAGGGCATTAGCCCGCTGTGGCCTCCTTTGCCTAGCAAAGCAATAAAGCTATTCTCTTCTACTTCACCCCCCCCCAAATTAATCTCCACATCTCTACTATCTACAGCAGAAATTATGGCAGAGTAAGAAATAGGGACTATTCTCAAAAGAAAGTCTCCTGGATATCACCTTTTTTAGTATCTGCATGGTGGGATTTTATATATAGATTTATATAAATAAGAAAGGTAACTTGTATTATTCAGATATGTATTTCATTACTTTGTCCTCCCTAAACACTTTAATTTTCCATATCCAGCTAAGACCCTAGGAAGTTGGCCTGGTTTCTCTGGTGCCAAGAAATCCAACAGTCTGGAAACCTGGCTGAATCCGGAGGCCATGTACCAGGGACAAGTGGCATGGTTGAGAGTTCAAGTGAGTCCATCTTGTAAGTGAGATCTTGGCAAGGACACTTGTGTGAAAATATAAGCTAGCCAATTTGTACATACAAGTGGAAATGAGTAAGGAAGAGATACTGTATTTCAAATTGAGCATATGCCACTTGTGTTTAGACATGAGCACCTCCAAGTATGTTCAATGATGCGCATTAGGTAATTTTGTGAGATTAGTAATCTTGATACAAAGATTGGTACAAAGTGAGAACGTGTTGAAATTGATGGCTTAAATGGTTCTTGGCTTCATTTGGGCCCCTGCTTTTTTCTTTAATTGTAACACTCAAAAGACTGCAGAAAGAAAAAAGTCTATATTTTCTCAATTTTATATGTAGGTGTTACATAGATAATTTGCTCCACTTTACTCTTCAAAACAAAATGCTCTTTAAATCCTCAATATACATCAGGTGAGTTAATTAGCAGTAATTTTTCATTAATTAGTTAATTGCTAGAAAGAATAAAGAGTAACTTTAAATCTGGAAAGGCTCTGAGCTTGCTTATACCCAGACTCACCCAGCCTCACACTCAGAATATATATCCTTTCTTTATTAAAGTAGAAAGTTGGTTTTTTTTTTTTAAATGAAATATAGTTATATAAACCCACTGGTGGTGTTTTGGACTCTGTTAAGACCCAATACAGAATTCTGAAATTACTAGAATCCTAATGTTTGCTGTTCTTGTTAGGACAGATCTAAATTTCAACACAGCTCAACTCAAGTAGACTTTATAAACAGAGCATTTCAAAAGCCAAAGAATATTCAGGAAAATTCTGAAAAAGAAGGGTAACATGCCTACAAATATTAACAAATAATCAGAGGCTTCTATTAATTGGAACATCTTAGTGATAGTTCAGAAATAGATCAGTGGAAGAGTCCACAAATACATCCAAGCAGGTGAAGGAATCTAATAGCTGATAAAAGAGAATTTCAAATCCATGCAGAAAGAAAATTATTTAGTACATGAGGTAGGCAACTGGCTAACCACTTGGAAACAGATAAAAATATTTCTGTACCCCGTCACTGCACACCAATACAAATTTTATAAGAATCCAAAATTTAATGTAAAGTACTTGTAGCATATAATAAAGATTTCTTAGGTGGAGCAATTCAGGTGAAAAAAAAGCTTCAGAGTGTGGTGTGAGAAGCTGAAATGGAGTGAAGACAATGGTCACTTGCAATGCAGAAGAAACTCTCAGCCTAGGGTTAATGCATGAGACGTTTACAAAGTCCCAAAGAGGCCGTGACCAACAAACTTACCCTGCTTGACTGACTCCAGCTTATTTTGAAATGCACCATGTTTCTGAAAGTTGGAAATCCCAAATCTAAAACACTGAGTTCTGACTGAGATACTTGAGGTTGGATTATGAATGTTCTCTGATAGTGTCCACATGCACTTTGGGATTTAAAACCTGATGGTATTGCAGAATGCCCCCTCAAACCTATGTGACTAAACCCTTAATTACCTTATTGCTGACTTAAAATTGTATGTATATAGATCTTATACTAATCTGATCAATTTCCTTAACTTGTGGACTTCCACTTTCAAATTTGCCTATCAAGTTACTTTTACCTCCTACATTCCATTTGGTATCACTATAATTTCAATGTTATAATAATTCTCCTGGTACCAAGAACTTGATGCCAGTGATAATAATAAACCCCTGGTTCCCATCAACTTGGTTTTTGTTTGTTGGTTTACTTTAATTATATACCATATTAGATCACCCTTAAGCTTAGTTAACTTTGTTACTCTCCCAGAATAGACCATTACCTCTTCTTGCTCTTCGTCATATTCCTCTTGTTCTGCAGCATTGTCATCCTCATCATCATCACCTTCTTTACTTTTCTCTTTGCTTCCTTCTTTCTCTTCATTTTCCTCATCTGATTTTTCACCATCACCTCTCTTTTCCAATTCCTGGTATAAATGAGCTTCATTAATTTAAATGGAAACCACTAGACTCTGACTTGCCTGCTCAACCTCAAGAGAACAGCTACATATCACCCTAATTCTAACCCTCCATTACCGACGCCTCCAGGCCACCACCTAGGACACCGTGAGTTAACTCAAGAAAGATGGGACTAAATGGCCTGTCATTACACTGGTATTTTCTCTGAGTTTGCTATTTCATAACTGGGTCTTGAATCACGCTGTGATATCAGCTCTGCTGCCCAATGCTTTATTTTTATGATTCCTATCCTACCTCCTTCTAAAATATTGAGTTGATTCTGTTTATGGAGAAGCACTTTCAGAATATTATTTTGTTTTCCTTCAAACATGAAAGGAGAAAAGAGAATGGAATGGTAACATTTCAAAATGTCTATGTTTTAGTTTCTAAGTGAAACTGTTTAAAATAATATCAAGTCATACTATTTGAAGATTATCCATGTTCTTATCTCTATTCTCCCTCATTATTTACTTCCCATTTCCAAGGATTTTTGTTTCTTAATGTATCTGGCAGGTACATTAAGAAAAGAGAGATTAAAACTCAAATCTTTAGCAATTATTAGCAACTCTAAGAATAGAGGCAAAGAAGAGATGCAGAGTTAGAGAAACTTTGATTACCTGATGGCTCCACTTATCCAACTTGCTAAAACCACTGTCACCTTCTCATAAGACAGAGATTTAACTTTAAGATTACATCTTTATATTTCTATTATGACTACCAATAATTTTTTCCATTTGATAAAATGTGACCTGTTTTATTACTGTTACTATCAATTTGCTAAATTGTTCTATGCTTAATTTGTACAAGTGATAGAATCTCACCAGTTTTCTAGGAGGTGGGGGACAGCAATAATTTCATATATTAATACTCATAATTAATGCATAAGATCACTTTAACTAAAACACTATTATTCTTAATCAGTAATCAGAACACTAATTCGTAAATCTGTAAATACTCTACCCTATTATAAGATATCTGCTCTGTAGATTACATACAGAGAGAAAACATATTTTGTATTTGGTGTGGCCACAACTTAACTATTCCATTTGGTTCTTAAATATTTTTTTAATCCCTTTAATTACATTCAAATTTGAATTTAAGAAAACAAAGGCAATGAAAGACTACATCAGATAGTCTCAATTTTTAATCAAAATTCAAACTCTACCCTTCCTGTCACCTTACCCCACTTAGGTAGAACAAATAAGACCAAGGTAATAGACATAAGATGATTTATCTTCATACTGGCCCATGTTACCTTATATGAGTTATTACTACAATATAATGTGTGCAATTTTTACCAATTGGCAATCCCTCTGGAAAACTGCATGTAAACAAAATAGTATTTACAGATTTTTTAAGTGTTTATAAAAACACATACATATAATGATGACATATTAATGTTAAGATATGAAATTTTTTTCTGTTCTATTTTAATCAGACCCTAGTAAAAAGGCCTACAATCCACAAGATTGTATAGTTAAAAGGGAACTGTAGTGCTATACTTATTTAACTCTGTGCAAGGTATACGCTATATCTGAAAAATCATGCTATTAGCTATTATTTAATAATTAGCAATAGAATTATTTAAACCAGTTATGTAAAAACATTTTTAAATATAGAATTCATTCAGTGCTATGTAGGGACTAGGAGGTCTTGATTTCCACTACTGCTACCTCAATTATCTTTAAATAAATAACTTCAGCTTTATTTCTACTATATAGACCTAAATCAAACCAATAAAATACCTAAATCAGTTAACAAATATCAGATTTATGAAATTTAGAAAAAAGATCTCATACACACTGTCTCATCACTTTATTCCTTTTGTGTTAAGGTATTAGTTTTAATTCATCTACTTAGTAGTCTCCATTTTCTCTTCTGTGAGATATAACTATTTACCCCTACTACTTTATGGATTTATTTAAAGAACAGTGTGAATAACACAATGTGAAAACACTTTGAAAACAGTTGAATTATGAACAGTTAACAGTTCTTCTAGCTTAAATACTATAGACCACTCACAGAGCCACCTGTATGTCATACAGAAATAAGCTCAAATATTAGTTTACTGCTGTTTGATTATTCACACAATAACCATGAGATTTGACTGGATGTCATTCCCTCTCATTCACAGAAGTTTTATTAAAGAAAACTTGTAACTACTTTTGCTGAAGAAATGAACAATAATGGAGTCATCTGGAAGCTAACTTTGCTCTATTAAATAAAGCTGCTAACTCATTGGGATTTCTAGATTTAAAACTCCAGTTTTAACAGAGTGTGTAATGAAAAAAAGGTGTTTAAATGTTGGGAATACGGAAATACAACTTGTTCTGATGAGAAACCACATCCAGAGGTCCAGATCTATCTTCCTATAGCACATGTCATCTTAGCAACTTCTTTCCAGGAAGTTTTAAGAACAGTCAGAATCTGTGTTCAATCAATACAAGATGGCTAGTTCTGCAACCCCATCCATCATTCCACCACAGTAAAACCTGACAGTTATTGCTATTCCTTCAACAATCCTCCTGGCTTGATTTTCAGAATTGTTATCTTCAGCTCAAGTACTGGTCAAAAGTAAAATTTAAAAAGATGAGTTTCTGTTACCAGGTAGCTATGCCAACTTGGCCAGGCAAGTAAAAGTTTTGAAGCCTTGACGTCCTCATCGGTAAGTAAGGAATAATAATACCCATCTCTCTTTGTTGTTATGAAGGCTTAAGCACATAATGGATGTAAATAGCTCATCAAAGAGCCTGCTATTTAAAAAGTTCTCAAAAAGCGCTAGCTGCTATCATTATTATCATCATCATTATCATTACCATCACCATCACCATCAATGCAAGGTGATTCAAGCACTGATAGTGGGAATAAAGGGAATAAACTGGTATAATCTCATTGGAGAATGATCTGCCAATATTTATCCATATTTTCCATATTATACAGTACAAGTCTACTTCTAGAAATCTATCCTAAACATGTGAAATCACATACTTAACATGGATTCACTGCAGCACTGTTTATAATGGTGAAACACTAGATGAAACATAATGTCCATCAATAGATTACTGATTAAATAAATTATGGTTCATTCTTATAGTGTAGCCAAAAAAAGAAGAAAAAGAAAAGAATGAGGGAACTCTTTCACAGACTGACATGGAAACATTGCCAAGATATTTTAAGTGATAAGGTGAAGAGGCAAAACAGTGCAATATGCTGCTTTTTTGTCATTAAAAAGAAAAAAAATCTGTATTTTCTATGCATAAAATGTTTCTGGAAGGATATATAAGAAACTGGTAACACTGGCCTTCTAAAATAGAGGAATTGAATGGATGGCTAGGGACAGGGATGGGAGGGCATATTTTTAGTTTATTAATCTTTTTAATTTTACATCTTTTTTTTGAAATATTAAAAAATAAAGATATAAAAATAAGTGCCATAAGATAGGATTTTCCCTCAATAGAATCTTATACACTTAAACATAAAGCAGAAGAAAAGCATTAAAAATACACATATACCAATAAGAGAAAAAAATGAGAGGTTTTTGAAGATATACATTCATGTTTCTTTCCCATGCAAAATCCAGATGCAAGGGGAAAAGAGGAATAGAGTGGGAAAGGAATCAGGTGACAAAAGGTGAGGCAAGCTGACAGGTGAGTCCTAGAGAGGACAGAATGGAGCCCCCATATCTACCAGCCAACAATGTTCAAACCTTGCTAGTTACCCTGTATGCTGGGCTTGGCTCTGACAAGTGTACACGTTATTTAAAAGAGAGAGAAGGTAGAAAGGTGGAAGAGAACAAAAAGAGGTATGACATTTTTTCAGTCTGTTCTTATAATAAGAAGAAAATCTTACCTCAATTTTTTGCAATACATCTGCAGTATTAGTGAGTGAAGTGCCTTTGCCTGTATATTTTACCTTTTTGGATTTGGGTCCTGC